GAAATAGCAGCTTCCAAACAAAAACTTTGGATGGCTTCAGTGACCAGGCTTTAAGAGAAAACATGTAAGGATACTCAGAACCTCTGCAATTGATGCATAATATAATTGTATTTCTCTCTTTGTCTCTCTTGTGTCCACCCTAATTCCAGGTAATCTATGTGGCAAGGAATGCCAAAGACAACCTGGTTTCTTATTACCATTTCCACAGAATGAATAAAATGATGCCTGAACCAGGAACATGGGAGGAGTTTGTAGAGAAATTTATGGATGGCAAAGGTAAAAAGAACGTGTTATTTAGTATTCTGTTCCTGTCTTAAAATGTGTGCTGTTAACTTATTTTAAGTCCTCATACAGTGTGTGGACCCAGATCCCTGCCCCAAACATTCAGTAGCAACTTGCCTCCATCTCACTAACCTCCTTGCCTCCATTTCAATAATCAAGAAATACATCCTTTCTGCACATTTCTGTCATGAATAAGGAATGCTGTTATTAAAGAAGATGGCTCTGCGTTCCTCTGTGCAAAGAAGAATGTTCTGGTGGATATGGTGCCAGTCTGGGATTTTGAAGGCCCAGGGTCAAGCCCCTGTGCAGGCTTCCTATGCAGCCCTGGACCAAGTAATTTAGGATCAAACTGAGAGAAGCATTCAGGTACTTCTTAGGTACAACTGGGGGGCCTAAATTCAAAAGTGCAACACACACAAACCCTTTGCCAGAACCACTGGAGTTTCAAGTCCTTACATTATTGCCAGTAGAGTCCCTCAGATTCCTGAAGTTCTGCTACAGTACTTTCACCATGTTAGGGGACCTGATTGTTTGACTGCTGAAAGCTTTTGGGATTCATGAACTATTTAATCCCACAACTAACTCCCTGAGGGACCTGATCCAGTAAGTACATGAGAGCACTGATAATACTGAGTTCAGCGCAAAGCACAGCAGCCACAGTCACTTTTGTTTTAAAACATAGTTGGAGGAGCCCACTTTTATATAATACAATATAATAAAATAATATTTTATGTATTTCTCCCAAGAAGTGGGAGACATGGACTCTAGGTCTTCCTCAGCCTAAGGAAAACCACATCTTCCACTTCCCATGGAATTTCCCTAGCCACCAAGGTAGAGGCTGGGCTAGGCTAGTATGAAGGCATGCTCAACCTTTTTTGTTGAAACTGTGCAGAAAGGAATGCAAGATTCATAGAGTCAAAGAAAACATAAGCAAAAGAACCATGACTATAGTCCCAGCATTCTGCAGGAAAGGGAAGTCATGGGTTTCAGTCTTTGCTCCCAGCATGGCTTATGCCATTATCAAATGACTCTTTAGTACAAAATATATAAACAACCCCTGCAGCAGGGTCAAAACTTAGGACAGCACGGTTAGACCCTCATGATTGGATGACAGAGTTAGGCTATCTCCTAGTTACTCTCTCTTTGGCCCTATGAATCTTGCCTTTCTTTTTGTGGAGTAGCAAAATTTCAACAAGACAGTAGAGAGTGCTCATATTCAAGCCTAAATGCTGCCCTGGTGAAGACACTCTCATGGGAGGTTGGAAATGTGGGTTTGAACATTCTTAAACCAAGGAATGTATTGAACCCAAAAATCATCACTTCTTGGGACAGTGTTCTGTTGAGTTACTATATGCAGCCAGGCCAGCCCAGCAAGCACA